ACCGCACCCGCATAAACCCGCCACGCAACCGCCCCGCTTAAACTTTCTACAACTTTTTTTTGCTTCTTGCATTAATCAGTAGATATTTTTTATCGCATGAGAAGACATCTTACTTTTTAAAATGATATTTAAAAACAAACTGTAGGAAACTTATGGACTATGATTTGCAAACCTGCTATATACTGTAATTCTAGTAATTAGCATTGAAATTAAGTTATATTCTAATAATTATATACTAGAATATTCCATGTTGGTCAACTTTTCCTACGTTGTGTTACCACAAAATCTTAGAATGTCTTGGGCTGCTGGTCATAGGACTAACGATTTTCACCTACAGGTGTTGTTTGAATAATATTTTGAAATAACCTTTTAGAAATAAGCTTTTGCTAAGTTTTTTGGATTGTTATTGTTTTAAGAATTTTGCCCATAGGAAAAAAAAAACTTCTGATAAGTGTCTAGCTAAAGACCTTTTGGAAAGAACCATTCAACCATTCAAGTGATGAATCGACAGGATCTCCACAACCGCAACCTGGCCCGCCCCCGCATACATTTTGTTAAAAGATGTTTGAACCCACCCCGCACCCCACTGCACCCGCATATTCTATAACCTGCACCGCCCCCGATGCTCTCTAACCCGCACCGTCCCATTGCCACCCCTACTCCTAAACCTACTGCTCATCTTAACAAGTCCTTGTGTTTCTATGCCTCGAGGATCGTTGAAAACAAAGTACTCATTCGTCCCATTAACCTTTAACATCCTGCCCACATACATCCAAGAGTACTATCTGTGAGATATGAGGTTCCCTAAAGTGGTAGTTGGACTAGAAAATATTAAAAGTTAATAAATAATTCAACCATAGACGTCAGTATTGAGGTGAAACTATCTAATTTCATGGCAGCTCAAAGTAGATGTTGCGACTGAGGTGAAATTGGCAGTGAGTAGGAGGCTTCTTTGGAAGAATTGGTTAGCATGTATGATTTTACTGGATGTATCATTGAATACTGAAGAATCAAACCGGAAGCCCTTTAGATGCAATCTACTGCAGAGGTGCATACTGTAATATGGCAAAGGTGAAGTTCTTACTAAAGTTATGTTACTACAAAAAAATTGAAGGCAGTTTAACTTGAATGGACACACAGTTTCACGGTTGGCACTAAAAAGGGGTTTAGG